ATAATTATAATAAATGGCTGCGAGCTATTTATTATATAATTATAATTATATAATTATAATAAATGTCCATATATATATATGAATGGTTTATTTCAGTTGACACCTCGCAGTCATTTATTTGGCTGAATTACGTACAACTTACAAAATCGTTTACACGTCTCTAACTTAATCGAATCAAAATTATAGGTGTTACACAGGTTACGAGTGTTGGAATTTAGTTTAAAACTTAATATTTGAGTCGACTACTCTTTACCTGCTACCTGAGTGTGCCTCAGTACGCAAAGAAACCTGTTCTAAGTATGAATATAAAGACGTATAAGTATTTGGATCGCGTAGTTTGTTTCATCAGCCGAATTGTTGCCTAGTGTTTCACCGTGTATTGTTGTTGCAACTTGAATTAGGTTTCTTCAATTATGGTTCGACACATGTCACCTCTATATTTTAAAAATCAATCATGTTATCGAACCAAATCGTGGATCTGCAAAATACTAGTAGGCTTGGTCATCACTTTTATATCGTGTACGTAGCCTGATCAAAGAACGAAATCAAGATCGCCGAGTTCTATCAAGAACCGCAAACTAGGCTAAACAGGGCTGTAGCTGCGGTGATGTCGTGTTGCATGTTTTGTCTGTTTACCACAATAGATTGAAACAGAAATGTCTAAATCTGCATGAGCACAGCAGTTAAGATACAACAGACGCCTGACATACTGTGTTCCATATCCGATGCTGTGTTGAATGTTTTGTCAGTTTACCATGACGGAATGGAACAGAGATGTCTAAATAAGGCTGCATGTGCACAGCAGTGAGATACAACAGACGCCTGACATACTGTGTACCATATCCGATGCTGTGTTGAATGCTGTTCACCATAACAGAATGGAACAGAAATGTCTAAATCTGCATGTGCACAGCAGTAGTGAGCTACAACAGACGACTGACATACTGTGTACCGTATCCGTGACAAGCATGTCGATGTTCCCGGTGACAAAAGTCAATGCCATTGCCGAGCGAGAGAACAGCGGTTCGCTGGAAGTGTTATACAGCAGGGATTTGCCATGCTGCCGTCGCCAAATGATAATGGTTTCCTTCGGGGGAGCCAACATGGCTGATGCCGCTTGCTGGAAGACATAAAGCAGAGAGAATACATCGAAGTGATGGGCTACATTCATCATCCCGATGGCTCTAATGAAGGCGGCAAATCCCGGAGGAGCCAGCAAAATGCCACCGGATCATTCCCACGGTTGACAATGAGTGTGAATTCATTCTTTAGTATCGCGTGTCAGCGCCGCGCATATTGGCAACACGGTCCAACCGACGGTCGTACTAACAGGCTCGCCTGCAATCGACCTCTGATTCACTCTCATTCTGAGTCTGCTCATGTTCCCACTCCTTCTACACACACAGGTCTATATTATGTTTTATTAAGGCGATGTTGTAACCCCGTCTGGTGGTAAGGGAAGGCTTTTGACTCGCTATTGGAATCCAATTTGGGTGTGCAAGATGGCGGGGCAGACGTTAAAAGCTATCAAGGTTTTTAATTGCCTCTTTTAGTAACAACAGCGTTTTCGTCTGTTTCGCTGCCTGTTGTTCGTAAATCAACGACAACAACGGGGAGGCAGGGCCATACATTTGTGTTAGATTAACATCATTCTCATGGTTCTCTATATCATTTTGCCATGTGCCGTTATAATTTTGAGATTCGGTAGAAAAATGCATTTTATAACCATAGCTATCAGTAGTATTTACATTTGAAAGAAAATTACCGAAATGTTGCCAAAATGTGTTTCTTAGTCAACACTGAATCATAAACGTTATAGAAACTTTATTGCAATTTCATGCCCGAGGGCTAATTGCAAGAACATAAAATAAATATAAGATATACAGCAAAATTGATAATAATGCTACTTTGGATATAGTTATTGTTGGGTTTGATTTCTTTTCCATGTGCAGTGGAGTATGAAATAACCAACATTTTGCGAGATATATGAATTGGGAGGTGTTAATAGAAATGCATTTTTTTTGTAGGCTGGGAAGGTGAATAAAGCTAGTGAACATTCTGGTGACCATTTCAAATAACTTATCTCTTTCGGTGCTATAATGAGGGCAATGACAAATGTAGTCCATAAACACATTCCACAATCTTGGTTTTCCACCGTGCCGTCAGCAAAACGATTTGCCCGTCATCATCCACACCAGTGTCTGTATCCCTCCGACCATCACCGGCCGTTTTCTGTACCATCAGCGGGGAGGCGGCAATCATTAACCCGGTCTCAAATTACGGATGAAGTGGCCTCTCGGAGGAGGCAGATAAGGAAATGTACGGTACCCGTCTGACCCATCGTTCAGACCCCAGCATGCTAATGCACCACATAAATCACTAAAACTCGTCTGCAATCGGGCGTTTTAAACTCCATCCATTCCCTTATTAACACTCCAGGGGAGGTTGATGTCGGCTTTATGAGCTCTCGGAACGGTTGCAGCGGATTTCGGGGGAGAAATCGCGAAAATTATCTCGCCAGGTTTTGAATTAGGGTCGATGACACAGATGACTAGCCCCCACTTGCCTCGCCAGGTCCCAGTAATCGTTCCATCGGCAGTCGGGCCGAACATGGCCACTTGTAAAGTCGCCGAAACAGATGAGTCAAGCCAACAGTGAGTCTGCATACACAGCGTCGGAACAGGTTTGCTACATCAGCAACTAGGAGACCATCTGTCATCTTCTGTTAGACATCCATCTCCGGTGACTGGACACATATTACAGACTCTCGGCGTGCTGGCGACTGGCAGGCGATATAGATCATTGGAACAAGCGGTCACTGCCCCACATACTGGACATACAAATTATCACTGACTGTATGATACGAGCGTTAGCTACCCGATTGAAATGTGGTGGGGATTCCAACAATCTACTGTTTTGATTGAACCCTACTCTCCAAGCAGAGGTTGATGGGGGAAGATCGTTACCTTTTTATATATGGCCCGTTTTTGTCGCTACCCTCACCTTGGGTTACGCATGGACCCTCCCTGGCCAATGGATACTGCCTGGCCAATTTGATACTGTCTATTTGCCACCCTAGGATCTGCTTGGAGATTAATTGAACCCCACTGTGCCATTGCCGCTTCCGACTAATGTACAGCAGTGCTGTGCAATATGACAGATATGACAGATACATTTGCTTACAATAGTCACCTTGGGGAATGTGCAAAAATCTTGCATCTTCCTCAGAATAGCGGATGCGCCACTGTAAGATTTAATACAAACGGATGTAATACTTCCTACCTCTCCTCTACCTCCTAGGGTAAAAATAGTCTTAAATATATGAACCTGCACATATACACCTGCGGGTATTGTCTAGAATTTCCGTCTACACCCCCCCCACCCTCAGCACCATCCAGGGATTGGCATTCCGAGTACGAAATGTTAACGACGGCCTATTATCTCCCGTGAAATTACTCCTACGATTGACGTTGGCAGTGATATTCATGCGTCCCTAAATATGGCTACGTTCTCTCGACGTTCGGAACGATGTTTGATGGCTCATGGCGCCGTCTCCGGCTCTCGCTAGTACAGCTAGACATGTCCTCGCAGGACATGAACTTACAGACTATATTGCTAATAGATGTATTTTACTGCCATTGCGTTATGGATGGCTTGCTGGTAGTATTGTATCTTGTTAAAAGCTGGGGACGCCGAGGTCGCTGGAAGGATTGCGATAGCTTGGGAAATCATAGAGGGATTTTGTGCCGATGTAATAGATGATCCTGCCGCCAGGCTGTCACTTCAGGCCTCCCGGTGAAGCCATCTATTTCCCGGCATTTCTGCCGCCCCCCATCGCTCAGCGACGTCCCGACAAGTATTAGCACAGGCTCACGTGGGAAGGCGCTTTTATGGAATGAAAACTGGTCATTAAAGTGGTTCGCACCTGATGCATGTTTACCGGAACAGATCAGCCAAATCCCGCGGCCGGCTCGCCCGCTGAGCTCCGACAAAAAACTCGCGGATTTACGACAATGGATGAAAACATCTATGAAAGCCGATTGATCGTTATGGCACCTTTTATAGCGTCTCTGGACTCTTTGCCTCATCAAAAGCTATGAGGCGGAGACTCGCCACAGAAGCGTTTCTAATATGCACTTTGCTATATTTGCCTTTCACACAACAGGATCGGTACAGAGCGTTCATTCATCATCTAGTTAAAAAGCTAGGGAGTGTCCTGCTTTTCACGCACAAGACGTCTACCTGGACCGGACACGGCGTCTAATGGCACCCGGCTGATAAGCCACCCGCGCGCGGGTAGGAAGTTAGATAGATGCGGCGGAAGGACAAAAAAATCACTGCAGACGGTAAATTTTCTCTGCCCAGCTGTTTTTTAACGTAACGAAGCTGACGTTTTTTGCTGTAATGGCAGGAATGATTTCTGAGGGGATTACACTGGCCGTGTTTCCGCCGGAAATTGCACGGCTTTTGTATCGGGCAGACCGGCCGCTAGATTCCAAAACGATTCGATTCTATAAATACGAAATGAAGTCTCTGAGGACTATAACATAATGGGAGAAGGAAAATATAATTCTTAATGTCGAAATAAGTTTAACTTGTGCTCTGTTCTTGCTCTGGCTTCTGAGGAGCTTGGATACTTTGTTTATAATGAAATGTTCAGTATTGCGCAGGCGTAATGGTGACCCGAAAGCTTTGACCCTTTAAAACATGTTTCCTTTGAGGAGTTCATCATAATGGCGGAAAGTGTGAAGGAAATACAGATGCCCAGCCGAAGTGCCTGTGTTCACACCCTGTCTACATCCGAACGCATGCTGATATAGAAACAGAATAGCTATGATGTACATCCTTAGCAATGTATCTGATACCCTACAGATGTCTGCCTGTATTAATGTACTGAATCTCAATGAAAAGTATAATAGAGCTACAGAGACGCCCCCAAACCGCCATGGCTAGACATGCGATAGTTGTACATAAGGTGTGCCGTGAAGTGTCTGTCTCACCTTGCCTCTTGATACATTCGTTCCACAGCCCGGAGTTGGCGGCTAGCTTGTCGGTCCCGTTCGGCCTGGGTGTAAACATGGCTTCCCTAGAGAAGAGCCAGAAGTCCGTGCCCATGGCTATGGCCAGCAGCGCGAAGGACGCGGTAGAACAGACGGTGGTGACAAGCATCAGTGGTCGCTTGCCGCACTGGGCCATCCTGAAGATACGCTCCAAACTTGCCCACCTTCCCACTCCGATGCCTCGCCCCGATTCAATGGCTTGATCCCGTTGGTACATTCAATCTTGTAGCTTCTTGTATCTCCTTCATTAAGGCGAGCGGAATTTACATAACTACGCACCGCCGCTGCACGTCCCCTGGAACGGCACACACAAAGCACACAAGCTTGTCAATCCGTGTCTGGGAGAAGTCTAATCTAAACTCAGGGAGCGGAAACTGTGCACTTCAGGCAACCGCCGCACGCCCGTTCGCCCTTGCCCCTACCCGAGTGTACTTCTGTACTCACGGTCTTCCTGCAGAATCCATCTTCGGATCACCCTCCCCAGACACTGACCATCTTCAGCACCCGGCATCAGCATCGCTCTTCCCGGCCAAACATCCCGGCCTCAACAGGCTTTCACTGTTGCACGGAAGGAAAATTAATTCCAGTCGCAGCAAACCGCTGCGCTTTTTCCCCCTCCGTCCGTGGGCGGGAGTATAAATGAAGAAGGGTTCTTGCGAAGCCCTTTGCCTATCCACACACCTTGTGTGTGTGTGTGTGCGGCGCGCTTGCCTCGCTCGGCACAGCCGAATACAAAATCAGCAGAAGCAGCAGCAGCTAGCAGCGCAGAGCGGCGTTACCACGTGATCCACTCGCCAGGTTGTGTAAAGCTCCTCAGAGTAGGTGCTCCATGAGTAGGAGGGGGAGGGAACCTGATTAGAGGCCTTTGAACTGTGAACCTTGGCAGACTCCCCCTGCTTGATTGCCATCACGGTGAGCCATTCCCCCTCGATGTCCCGGGGTGACCCATTAACGCCGCCCATGCGATTTTCCTCCGGCCGACTTGCGACCTTTTTGCCACCGACACCGGGCGACACGAAGAATGGCTGTCTTCTCTCATTCTTGTTACTCAGTGCAACAGTTCAACCTTCCGATACACATGTAACGTTACAGCTAGGGCCCGATCGTTTTAGCAGAGAAGGGATGCATGTCAAGTGTTGGCTGGATGATGCCGCGTCTGGTGCATTTTGATATTGTGAATACTTATTCGGCAGCAACAGTGCTCTGTAATGTACATTGTTTTTTCATGCCTTAATTACAACAGTCCTGATGCATTCTTAATGATGATTACAAAAGATTATAGATTCCGCCTCGCCTAAAAGATTATGTGCTTTCACGGTCTTTCAAAGCGACGAATGGTTAACGAAGATGGGTCGCAAAAGAGCTCTTTATTAGCAAACGACGGAACATGGCATTTGTTCATCTATAGATTATTTTCTGTTTAGATGTTTTGAAAGTTTTTGCCTTTAACTGTGCAATGAGTAATTAAAGAGGCATTGATAATGTCCATTCAACTTAAACTGAAACCGATGATCACTGAAAAGGACATGATAAGAGCATCCTCTTAATCGTTTTACCAGTTATCACCAGGGCCAATACTCTAACATCCGGATGGAGCTTCTTGTTTTCAATAGCTCTGCACATCATAATTTCTATATTCATTGCCACACATGTATGTAAGATTAAAATTCTTTACCGCATTGCATTTCTCATACAAAGACTCCGTAGCTACAAGGTAGAAACGGAACCAAGTAGGTGATTATCCGACTCACAATGAAGATAAAACCATTAGCTATTTTGTAGAAGTCGGAGGCTAATTGCCTAAATATTCTGGCCACACATAATTCTTCATAAGTGTTATTGGAACTGTGCACATCAAAGGCGCACGTGCCGACACGCTCATCGTCATTCCGTGATGCTCTTCCGGGCTCAACCACTCAACTCAGAAAGTGGCGCAGCAGATGGACAGTAATGTAACGACAGGGAAGCCTGTTACTGCCAAAGACGCAATCCGAAGATGTCAAGGTGGTTTTTGTACGTCATCGACCCCGCATCACGCAGACAAGATAAGTCCGAGAACGACTCCTGTGCGAGTCAAGGTGGTTCATAAATCCGGAGGACATCTTCGCGGCTACGATGGCACATCTAAAAGCTATTTCCAGACGGCGGATCGTCCGGCTGGGATCCAGATTTACTGTATTTGCGCAGCGCTTTGATGCAAAAATGTGGTCTCACAATGAAAAGTCGATATCCTCATATGGAAACAGCGCATTTGCCGTCTTCTGTAAGCAATTTGACAGATCAATATGAGAAAAGTGGTTTCTGCCGCGAAATCCCGTCTGAGCCCTTCCATTGGGAGGAGAACCAACCAAAAAATTAAGTAGTGCCCAACCCTGCATCTACCCAGATCCTTCTAAGTCCTTATTCACTCCGGGTCATGTCTCTCCTGACCAAAAACCGCATCCCCCATCACCTGAATATTCTTCCGCTCATTGGGCCGGATGTACGGATGCGGATGAGCAAAGGTGCCGAGGACCAGATGACCTCTAAAAGTAACATGATGGGTCTCTGTCTCTGCCGAGTGCTTCGACCTTCTGGGTCGATCTTAAATATTCCCTTTCATATCGGTACAACAAATGATCGCGGACATGGGAAGCACATCGCCCCCGGCAAGGACAGCGCGGTTGTCCTATAAACCACTAACTCACCTACCAGCCCTGGAGTGAAAATCAAAGAGTTACAGTCCGACTTTCGACAAGAGATATGCACGGAAAAGTACACGTGGTATCGATGTAACCGGAGTTGCAGGAGCGGTGAAAAGGTTAGGGTGAATGTCAGAGCGGCTCGATCGGGAATGGGAATTTTCTTCCTGAAATTGGGTTTTAATTGGAGCTTAGCTTTGTCTGGGGCGACGGTCTTAGACCGGATCGATCTGGCTGTGATCCGGAGGCTGATTGAGTTCAGCTCGACTTGGGGATAACACGGACATGGTTTTTAAGCTGCACATGATTACATCCGGACGACGATTTTAAAAAACAAAGAGTTAAGCATCAAACGGATGTTCAAGAAACATTCATACAACAAATACTCGAGTTGTACCGTTTGCAAGGACAAACTATAAATTCGTGGGGATAACACGGACATGGTTTTTAAGCTCCACATGATTACATCCCGGCGACGATTTAAAATAAAACAAAGACTTAAGTATCAGAAGCGTTCATACAACATATTCTCGAGTTGTGCCGTTTTCAAGGACAAACTATAAATTACTAGTTGTTAGTAAGAGCAGGTATTCGCAAGAGTAGCCCAGAAGTAGTCAGGAAGAAGCACTGCAGTGCTGCACATGATTACATCCTGGCGACGATTTAAAAAAAACCCAAGAATTAAGCATCAAACGGATGTTCAAGAACAAATCCACGGGTTGTACCGTTTTCAAGGACAAA